GAAGGAAGGAAGGAAGGAAGGAAGGAAGGAAGGAAGGAAGGAAGGAAAAGAGGCAGGAGGGAAGGAAGAATGGAAGAAAAAGTGCAGGAGAAAAAAGGAAAGAGAGAGAACCATAGAATGTTGATAAACTGTGTGATGACTACATACAAATTTATTTTTCTGATCTCTCTACTTTTACAAACATTTGAAGAATTCCATCATATATATATATATATATACATATATATATCATATGTGATATATATATATGACTATATATGACATGTATATGACTATATATATGATATATATATGACTATATATAAGATATATATCTTAAGATATATATAAGATAAGATATATATCTTAAATGTAGATATCATATATATAATATATATATCTTAAATGCAGACATATCTTACCATAATTCAAACCATCACGATCACCTGTAATTCTTCAATGGCTTCCAACTGTACTTCCAGCATCCTCTCTTGTCCTCCTACCCTCTTCTCACTAGACTTAAACCAAGATATCCCTTTAATATTTAAATTGAATCATGTCACCATGGATTAAAATCTCCAATGGAAACCCTAAAGTCTTTGAAAAACTTCCACCCTTTGGTCTATAACATGACCGTAAGTGAACTGGCATCCCCCTATCTCATAGGCTTCATTTTCTAACACTCTCTGCAATAGCCTCTTCTTATTATTTGTGGTAAAGTCCAAACCTATCCCCAAATCAGGGCCTACTACATGCATTTTACCTGGAAACACTCTTATCTATCTCTTTGACTTCTTCCATCATACAGGTTTCATTGGAGAAGCCTTCTACCTTATTAAAATAGCCATCGACCCCTCCCTAACTAATTTGAATTCTCTTTTACCTTCCAGTGTTTTATTTTCTTCAGAGCATTTACTTGTGGCCTTGTGTTTTTTTTTTTTCCACTAGAAAGTAAGACTACACATAAATGGAAACTAACCTCTCTTATTCCTTACTTCATTTTCAGTCCTTAAAATAGAAGCAGAGCAGAGGAGTGGAAAGTAAAAAGAAAAGAAAGAAAGAAAGAAAGAAAGAAAGAAAGAAAGAAAGAAAGAAAAGAAAGAAAGAAACAATAAGCAGGAGCTAGCATATTTAAAATAAGTATACAGAGATATTCTAAAAGAATTCTAAAACATAAAGATTTCTGTGAGGTCAAAGAAGCAGAATGCTGATAGTTATAAGAGAGCTCTATAGAGCTAAAGTCCAAGAGGGGTGAAAAAAATAACAGTTCACCATGATTCAGTTCACCAGACTCTTATGGAGCCCTTACTGGATAAAAGGTGTGATATGATATTAGGAATTAGGGGTATAGAAATGTCTAATGCAAATTCCTTTATACTCAGTGACAATATTGGTGAGGTTAATAATAGGCTTACCTGCTAACCAGTATTGATCATTTCCCATATTCTGGGCCCTCTTCTAAGGACTCCACATATATTTTCCCATTGGCTTTTTTTCTCACAACACTATGAAGTAAGTTCTATTCGTCTTCAATTAAAAAAAAAAAAAAAAAGGAAATTGAAATTCAAGGCAACAGTGACTCAGAGCCAGTGGGCAAAATACTTGTAGACAGCGACCGATGTAAAAGACAGTGTTAGTGAAGTATTTGCTAAATCCCTCTGTAGGATTGAAAGAATAGGAATGATTTATCAGGACATGTCAGGGAAGGCCTCATAGATGAAGCAGGCAGCATTTGGTCTGGGCCTGCTGGGATGAGAAAGGTACTGCTACCTGGAGACTGGGGTAATGGAAGGCCATGAGTACATTACAGAGATGTCAAAACGCAGTTGAGTGCTTAACTGCTGGAGCTATAGAATCTGCTAGTGCTCAAAGTTGGGATCCCATCGTGATATGTACCAGTTCTATGACCCTATAAGCAAGGTCTTAGCCCCAGTTCCCCATCGGGCTGTATTAAGAATTAAGTAAACCTTGCATGTGAAGCCCAGTACCTAGTGCATGGGAATCACTGATTTTTTTTTTTTCCAGCTGTTACTCCTTCCAATTTGGGAACAGTAAGTATAGTAAGCATATCACCAAAGAAGTCTGGTGTGATAGAAGTCTGTAAAAAGTAATCTGAGATAAGTTCATTGTAAGTAGTGAATGCGAAAAGCTTGGACTCTGTTTCAGATTCACATAAAGGGGAATGAGTGTACAGGGGAGGAGATCCTAGGAAGCTGTGGTTTTAAGATGAACTCAAAAGGGCACCTCAAAGTGTTAAATCTTATTTTTTATCATTATTATTAAGTAAAGTTCGTGGCTAAATAAAACAAAACCTCATTAAGAGTCAAAAAAGCTCCCTGACAGAGGTCTTCTGTAGAAGGTCTCAAAGTAATGGTGATATTTTTAGAAAGAGCACCCTCCAATTTATTTTTGGAAATATCACTCAAGTAACAATGGGGAGAATGGATGAAGGGAGGTGAAACTTGGGTCAGGGGGTCATTTTGAATGTTTTTGGAATCAAGCAAGTAGTGAACCCCTGAACAAGGAGTTGCAGACAATTTTAGAAGACGAGGGCGAATGGACAAGCACTGGTTAAAAAAGATAAATAAAAAAAAAGAGAAAATATATATATATATATATATATATATATATATATATATATATATGGCAGAACCAAAACTGAAAATTAGAAAAATAAAATTCAGACACTGGTTTTGATAAAAATTAATTCAGAATTTCCAAAAGTTATGAAGTTATCCAAAACAACACTTAGGGCAACTGGATTTACTCCAGAAGACCTGCACATCATTCAGGGCCTAAAGTTGGTGACATTGGTGGCAAGTCTGAGAATGTTAAGACCTCCTATCCCAGGGTGCTGTTGGTGACTTTGCTGCAATATATCTCATACAGCTAAGAAGACAGACAAATAGGCATTAGAATGTCAGAGTCAAGTATCAGAGACTGGCATTCAGGAAAGGTGATGGGGGGTAACCAATTAAGACTTCCTGCATAGTACATCATATTCTTTTATATCACAGCAGAAAAGTCTATCTCTGAAGCTTCATAATCCTGCGTTTTCCGTGGAAGCATTTACGGAAACAATTCTTCCCAACAGACCGCGCTGAGTACCACTGTGCAAATGATTGTACTGTAGGCCATGTGGGTGATTTCAAGAACAAAGTCCCGGCCTCTTACCTACATGGTTTCTAGCCCTGAATTGTCCAATATGATAACTACTAGACACGTCCAACTCCAAACTGAGATGTGCTATAAATGTAAAAGTCACTCCAGAATTCACAGATGTACAATGAAAAAAAACAAAGGAAGTATCTTATTAATGTTTTTATTTGCAGTGCATTGAAATAATAGTGTATTGGATATATTGAGTTAAAATATACTGTTAAAATTGATTTATCCTATTTCTTGTTTACTTTTCTAATGTGGCTACTTGAAAAACATTGCACCTGGCTTTCATTTGTGGCTCATTATATTTCTATTGGATGGTGCTGCTCTAGACTCTGGCCAATTAGACTTCCCGCTGCCCCCTAGTGTAATTGGCATTTCAATGGCTTCATGTCTCACCCCATGCTCATTTGTCAAAACCTACCTATTCCTGAAACCCATGTGAAAGGACGTTGCTTCAATTTATTATTTTATGAAGTCTCTAACTACATATGATATTCTTGAACTTCTCTCTTGAACTTCTAGAGGAATTTATTTGTCCTTATAATGTATTTATCATAGCTCTTTATGTTTTTGTTCTAATTTATTTTACCAGAATATAAATTCTTTGAAGGCAGTCATGTATATAACACATTTTTATGACCCACAGAGACTAGCACAGTGCTTAAGTTTTCTTTCTTCTGAATTTAAGTCATTCAAGAACCCTATAATCTATTATGGAGTCGTGATGCTTCCTGGATCCCAGAAATTCTGATACATAAAGGGAAGAAACTTATCCCTTTGTTTCTGCTTTTGTGATAGGATAGCTACTAATGTAGACTGTCAGCAGCTTTGTACGGCATGGGGCGGGGTGGGGGGGGGGGAAGGATGGGAAAAAAAGAGTTCCTAGGAATAGGGAAGCTTAGACTTGGAACAGAGAGACTTGGAACTTCTCTAAAAGAAAAGCTAATAAAATGTGTATCCATGTACAAAACATGAGAGACAGAGACAGACGGACAAAGGTCAAAAAATGCTGATTTGTTGTTTTTGCTAGGGAATAGCACACAGTCCAATTGGTCATATTTCAGATGTACTACTCAAAGTAAGCTAACTCCTGTAACATGTAACCTTCAACTTTCAATGGCTTGATGAAATAAAAGCCTAACATTATTTTTCCTGTACAGTACAATCCAATGTGGAGAATCAGAAGTTGAAGGGATGCTTGCTCTACATAGTCATTCAAGGTCCTAGACGCCCTTCATTTTGTGTCTTCTCCCTCTGTTAGGTCACAGGAGAACTTGCCATCCAGCTAGTGCAAGAGGAAAAAGAGAGATTGGGAAGTTTATTAATGGGTCAGTTCTGGAAGTGTCATGTGTCACTTTTATTTACATCTTATTGAACCAAACCTAGTCATGTGGCCACATCCCACTTTAAAGGAAGGGTGGGAAATGCAGCCTAGATGTGGGTTAAAGAGGAGATCAAGTGTGTTGGTCAATACTGGAGTCTCCAGCACAATAGAGCACATGTAGGATAGGGCTTTGATCATTTGTTCTTTCATTCATTCCTTTAAGACAGGATTTCTCAACCGTTGACATTCTTGGGCTGGACAACCCTTTGCTATACAGGGTTATTCTCTGCCTTGTAGGAAATTAACCAGCATCTTGGCCTCTACCTTAATGTGCCAGCACCACTGCCTCCCACCCCAGTCACGTCAATAAAAAATATCTTCAAATATTTCCATTTGCCCTGGGGGTAGTGCTGGAGGGGATCACCCCTGGTTTGATGTCATATTCCTTTATTCAGTATTTTCCAAATGTCATGAAATATCTCCTATTTGTTAGGGTGGTAGAATTACAGAATTCTTTATTTGATGACATCAGGAGGTTTTTGGTTGTTGTTGTTTTTTTTCCTTCCTGATCCTTTATACACAGCTGTCCCTCAAGCATCACAGCAAGGAGAAACCAACTGTAGACAACAGGTCTAATCTCAATTTTCAGCCCATTTATTTGCCTGCATGTAATATTTATCTCCACTTTCATCTCTCTGGATCTCCTGTCTCATATTCAATCACTGGCCTCTAGATTATCTTCTATTTTTAAATCCCTTTAGTCATCTCATCCTGGAATATTGAGTTCACCTTCTCACAACTCTTAAATCTACATGCTTAGTCCAACATAATCTTTCTCCTATTCTCTAACAGAGAATAGGAATCGTACAGGAACTAAAAGCATCATACGTACACCAAGTACGTAAAAAAAAAAAAAAAAATGGCACTCATGTTGTCATTTCCACATCCTGTGCCCTTGGTAGACATTGCTAATCAGCCTTGATACTCTTCCCCCCTGAGCCTGGAGTCCGCCACTGAATCAAGGAAGTATTTGAAACAGTCACTATTGATTGAACAGGGTTGTAACAAGAGATTAAAATGATTCGGTCTCTGAGTTCTGGTCCCACTCCTTCATTTCAGAGAAAAGGAAACTGAGAACCAGATTATGAAATGGATTGCTCAGGCCACATAGAATTTTGACATTTTGGCCTTTTGTTTCTTCTCTCGTTCCTGTGGTAAGAATTAACAACGAGGCTTGCCCAAGTCCTGTGGAAATGAAGCCTTGAAAAAGGTTGCTAAAAGCAGGACAGTTGCTTAGGAGTGTGTTAGGATGAACTTGAGCTCAGGCAGATTCTTTTTTCTCTGCTTTTTTGAACAACAAAGTACACTCTAGTATATTGAGCAGAGATTGGAGGGGTATAATTACCCCCACCACGCTGGTTTTTTAAGAGATCAAAGAAAAAGGAAGATTCTGAATACTAACTAAATGCCTGAATTTAAAATTCAAGAAAAATGCCACATGAAAATAGGGTTAACTGCAGGAGAATTCGCCAAGGGTGAATGTGATATGTATATTTGAATGATAGGATTTGAGATTCAATGT